CTCCCACTTGGGACGTTTTGGCGGCCCTCAGGGACCGTGAACCCAAATTTCAACTTTTTTTTTGATAATTATTGACATTCGGACTCCATAGAATCTCGCCGCATTGGTTTGGTTCCGGCCGGGCCAAAAACCTAGGACTAGTTCGCAAAAGTAGGTTTTACGAAAAACGCAAAATACCCGAAAATGTACCCAGGGTGACGAGCCAATCCGAGGCATGCATCTTGTCCGGCTGGAGCCAAGGATTCCAACGATGTAAGACACTTGAGCCTACGCCCGACGGTTGAGGAGTTATGAGCCATTTCGTACTTTTGCCCGCTGTAGCGCCCCCGTCAGGCCGATCGGGGCGCGCCTTTGTGACGCTGTCGGCGGATATGAGTACTACCAGCCCACAAAGTTTCAGGTCTCTAGGACTTACGGTTCGTCCTGCACGATCAGTTTTACATGGAGAATGTTGCATTATGGGTAAATTAACAATAACAATAGGGTTTCAGCACTTCGTGCTTGAACCCCTAATAATAGGGGCTAAAAAGGGACTAAAAAGGCCTATAAAAATAAAACCGTTGGGTCTACGCACTTGGCGCTTGCACTGCTGCGTTCCAAAAACTTTATCACACTTTTTAACATGTGCCTTGGAGTGGAGAGGGTCGCTTTTTTGCCTTTTTAGCTCATTTTTCATGGAAATGTGGTGTTTTATTTTTTCACCTTTTAAACCGCGCCACCTCCACCGATGGCCCGATCTCCATAAAACTTTGCACGCTTCCTTAGAATAATATGGCGCACATGCTCAGCTAATTTGGTGAAGTTTTGAGCAGAGCAGACCATTTTTCAGTCACTTAAATGTCATTCTGCATATGATTTTATGGAGCATTTTCTCCCTTTATAACAGTTAAAGGGCCACCGGTGGACCGACATCCATAAAAGTTTCCAGGCCTCTATTGGGTCAGTTGACGCATGCGCACGCCCGGTTTTGTGAGGTTTCATGCAAATCAGGCAGGTAGAGGGCCGCTTTCATCCATTTCATGGGATTTGCCATAGAAATACATCATTTTGGCACCTTTTTAACAGTTATAGCGCCACCAAGTGGCCAGTCGCCCCGTCCTTTTTAACGCAACCACAGAATGAGCTCTCACACAGGTGCGTTGAGTTTGGTGCAAATATCTCGTTCCGTTGACGAGTTATAGGCCATTTAGTCAAAGGGGCTCCTCCCACTTGGGACGTTTTGGCGGCCCTCAGGGACCGTGAACCCAAATTTCAACTTTTTTTTTGATAATTATTGACATTCGGACTCCATAGAATCTCGCCGCATTGGTTTGGTTCCGGCCGGGCCAAAAACCTAGGACTAGTTCGCAAAAGTAGGTTTTACGAAAAACGCAAAATACCCGAAAATGTACCCAGGGTGACGAGCCAATCCGAGGCATGCATCTTGTCCGGCTGGAGCCAAGGATTCCAACGATGTAAGACACTTGAGCCTACGCCCGACGGTTGAGGAGTTATGAGCCATTTCGTACTTTTGCCCGCTGTAGCGCCCCCCTCAGGCCGATCGGGGCGCGCCTTTGTGACGCTGTCGGCGGATATGAGTACTACCAGCCCACAAAGTTTCAGGTCTCTAGGACTTACGGTTCGTCCTGCACGATCAGTTTTACATGGAGAATGTTGCATTATGGGTAAATTAACAATAACAATAGGGTTTCAGCACTTCGTGCTTGAACCCCTAAAAATCAATACAATTACAATAGGGTTTCAGCACTTCGTGCTTGAACCCCTAATAATAAAGAAAATCTTCTGTCCCCAAGTTATATATGTTTGATGTTAAGGTTTTATTTTACACTATTGAATAACTTCATACACTCCAAAGATGTATTTTTTAGCCATGATGTATTCAGAAATACTTGAATATTCCAAACCTGGTTGGCTTGTCTTCTTTCCCATTGTCGGTGATACTTCCAAGTGAATGTGTTGGAGTAGAAAAAATGGAGATGGCCATGATTCTTCCCTCTGCACACAATATCAGGATACTTTATTTTGTGTTAACACATGTAATTGTCCTTACTACTGAAAGAAAATGTGTGACAATAGGGCTAAACTTGAATGTGTGATTGGTGGTTGAGAATTATATTGGACACCTGTCAACATTTGAAAGGATGCCAATAAATGTACACGGTTAAGTCTAAACTTTTTTTTTCGTTTTGTTAAAAAAGGGTTCTAATAAAATTTTGGGTCGCAAGTTATAGGATGTAATAGGAGTTATTGTTTTTCTTATTCTTTTTTTTTTTGGTATGTACAAATTATGTAAGTTGTCCCTTTTAATTTAAAAATAAAAATACAGGTTTTGAGTGAGTCTTTATCATTTACTCTGCATAACCACAGACTGTAAAAAATATTGTTGGTTTAACTTAAAAAATGAAGTAACCTGGTTGCCTTAAAACTTTAAGTTGATTGAACTGCAAAAAGTGAGTTAATCCAATGAAGGAGATTGTTGATTTAATCATCAGAAACTTAAAATAATAAGTTATCTGAACTAAATAAATTATTTAAGTTGATTTGACAAAAGAAAAAATGTTGTGATAACAAATCTTTTGAAAATATTTTTTTTACAGTGCAGTAAAAATATTAGTAAAAATATTATTGGAGTAAATATTTTTTACAGTGCAGTTGTTTTCAGATGAAAAAGCCTCCAAGTGCCATTTGAATTTTTCTTCTAAAATTAGCATTTTTATCAAGCTCGTACACTGTATAAAAATCTTTTGTCGAAATCAACTTAAATAATTTATTTAATTCAGATAACATATAATTTTGAGTTTCTGATGATTAAATCAATATCCTTCTTTTTATTAACTCAGTTCAATGAACTTAAAATTTTAAGGCAACCAGGTAACTTAATTTTTTAAGTTTTAAACCATTTTTTTCTTACAGTGAAATTACTGTACTTAAATATACACTGTAAAAAAATATTTTCATGATTTGTAACCACATGTTTTCTTTTGTCAAATCAACTTAAATAATTTATGTAGTTCATATAACATACTATTTTGAGTTTCTGATTCTTAAATCAATCTTCTTCATTGTATTAACTCACTTTTTCCAGTTCAAATGAACTTAAAATTTTAAGGCAACCAGTAACTTAATTTTTTAAGTTAAACCAACCATTTTTTTTCTTACAGTGAAATTACTGTACTGTAAAAAAAAATTCATGATTTGTAACCACAACATGTTTTCTTTTGTCAAATCAATTTAAATAATGTATTTAGTTCAGATAACAAAATTTTGAGTTTCTGATGATTAAATCAATCTCCTTCATTGTGTTAACTCACTTTTTCCAGTTCAATCAACTTAAAATTTTAAGGCAATCAGGTAACTTATTTTTTTAAGTTAAACCAACCTTTTTTTCTTACGGTGAAATTAATGTACTTAAATGTACACTGTAAAAAATATTTTCATGATTTGTAACCACAACATGTTTTCTTTTGTCAAATCAACTTAAATAATTTATGTAGTTCATATAACATACTATTTTGAGTTTCTTAAATCAATCTCCTTCATTGTATTAACTCAATTTTTCCATTTCAAAGAACTTAATTTGAACTTGTGTGTATTTATATTTATACTATATATTATATGTACTTGCATGTGTGTGGAGTAGGCTATATGTGTATGTATGTATCCAATCCAGCACTTCATCACAACATTACAACTTTAGCTTCGTCAACCATAACTCCATTTCAGTCAGGAACCTTGGAGTTGTGATTGACGATCAGTTAAATCACATTGCCAGAACTGCCCTGTCCTGTAGATTTGCCTTATACAACTTTAGGAGGATCAGGCAAGCCCTTCCTATTCGGAGCATCCTTGTCCAAGCTTTTGTTCTATCCAGACTTGTGAATGCTCTCATAGCAGTCCTTCCAGCATCAACTGTAAAACCTCTGAAACTGCTGCAGGAGTGGTCTTTAACATACATCACACCTCTCCTCATAAAATTGTGCTGGTTGCAATTGCATTTGCATCAAATTTAAGGTGATGTTTGCAGAAGAGAACAACCACTGGCTCTGCACTCCTGTATCTTAACTCAGTATTCAGACCAACGTGCCATCCAGAAGCTTGCATTCTGGAACCCATCCCAAAGAGGCACAAAATCTCTTTCACAGACCTGTACCTGGACTCTTCCAAGCTGGTGGAATGACCTGCTGAGACTTTAGCCATGCATCTTCAAGATTCTACTAAAGACACATCTCTTTTGCCAACATTTGACTCAATAATACTACCACTTATTATTATATATTTACTTAAAAATCCTTGCTATGTGTGTTGTGCTGGTTTAGCTGAGACTGGTGGTGACATTTGCATATTGTTGGCCTATTGTTGATTTAACTGCTTTTATTACTCTCTTCAGTAAGTCGTTTTGGATAAAAGCATATGTTAAATTATTAAAAGTAAATATGTAATGACTATTAATATATACTTAGGCTATAATAATAATAATTATTATTATTAATATTATATTTAATTGTTATTTAAAAAAAATTAGTATGATTCATAGGCTGTTTTGGGGGACCAAAAAATGTCGCCATAAAGAAAACAGCTGATGAATAAAGGTTACTAAATTGTTTCTTTTTTAAAATCATCAACATTATACATGTTTTCACTGTCACTTTTGATCAATTGAAAACAAGCAAACAAACACAAACACACGCGCGCACAGAGACTCTCTCTCTCTCTCTCTCTCTCTCTCTCTCTCTCTGTCTCTCTCACACACACACACACACTGTTTTAAACACAATTTAAAAAGTCATGTAGTGTGGTATTTAAATGTACAGAGCATGAATTCATCCCTAGTCGGTACCAGGAAGCCGGACTGTACCATCTGTGCGATAGGGGAGGGGTGCACTCTTTTCGGTGTCCTCAAAGAACTAAATAAAAAATTGACCAAAACTGTGCTTATTATAAGCTTAAACACATACAAATCACAAAGTAATGCTGTGCCGTCGTCATATTTGTCTATTTCTAGGAAAAAAAACGTGTAGTTAATATGTTGGTTTAGTCCTGGTACCATCAGTTCTCTTTAGTGTTTGCCAATGTTGGAGGTGTAACTGGGGTCTGGCCCTGGACGAAGGTAAACTATTATTATTGAATGCGTTATGATTTGAAGAAGGGGTGAATTCAGAATTGCACTTGAAACTGCGCTCTGTCGTTTGGTTGTTTAGCGGCAGCTCAGGCACCGTGCATCGATGAGATGTGAGGGGTATTTAGTCGTTCAGCCATGATGTCTGCACATTCCCAGCTGAGTTCAGACCGGTGGCCTGTGTGCTGGAAAGGAAGGTTGTGTTTTCAATACCCAGATTAGGGTTTGCGACAGCCCTAGCCTTGTTTATGTTATTGTTTAAGAAAGAATAACACATCCTAGCATCGTGTGTTGTTAATTATAACAGACCTTTGAAAATGACAATCTCAGTGAGTGCATAGTCAGAGACAACTGGGAAGAGAGTGACCTCACTTTTGAGAGTCAGGTTTACAAAGAAAGCTGTCTTGTGATTCTCTGCCTAATAATGTCCAGGATCAGGATGGATCCTAGTGGTCAAATGTCACTCCACTGTCTTGATGCTGACTTGCTTCCAGTCCGTCATTTGTCCCTCTAGGTTTGTTTGTTTCAGGATGGATGTCATGCAGTAGCATTTGATATGTAGTGTTAAAATGTATAGTACATTATGGAAATATACAGGGCTTTTTTAAAGGGTGATATCCAAAGCCCATGGAAGTGATAAAAACACCAGATTATTGTGAAAGTCACTGACATTTATTTAGTAAAAATATGTTTTCCTAGGACACATTTAAAATGCCTAGAACTTGGTCTTTTCATTAATATATTAACTTTCTTTTTTCATTTTCATTATTAGCATTTTCATTCATAATTGTTTCTGGAGCTGATAGCACATTTCTCTTATACAGAAGTGTTATTTTAGTATTATTTTATGGTATTAGTTTTTATTAATATTTTTTTAAAATTAGCTTTTATTTATTACTTATGCTTTATATTTTCAGTTAGCATTTTAATGTTAGTTTAAAGGGTTAGATCACCCAAAAATGAAAATGATGTCATAATTTGCTCCAAGTTGTTCCAAGCATGTAGGCCTATGTATTTCTTTCTTCTGCTGAATACAAAAGATCTTTTTGATGAAATCTGAGAGTTTTCCATCCCTCTGTTTACAGCTACACAACTGACACTTTGAAACTTCAAAATGTTCATAAAGAGGTTGTAAAACTAATTAGGGATGCACAGAATATTCGAGCACTGAACATTTTATCATGGCCGAAATGTTGTGAGAAACCGCAACCGGCACGTGCTTGTCTGAAGCAACATGTCTGCAGTGTGGACGTATTTCAGTATATCTGAACCTGCGAGGAGACGGAAGCCTTGTTTATACTTTTGCCTGCCTCCGCAGCAAGAGTCTCTACAGACAGCGCACGCACCTCTCCAAATGGTCAAGGCGTTTATACTTGACGCCCTTGCTGTTGTACTATTCTTTGAAACGACAGGGGACAACTCAAGTAACTTTCCTTTAACCAAAAGGAATCGGTGAGAAGATAAAGATAAACGCGTGACAAATTGAAAATGTTTATTTTTTAGTATACCACCACCAATACAAAAATAATCATGTATAACGTCTCCGGTTACTTTCGTTGCCTTCCCTTCCCAGGGTTCCCTGAAAGGCAAGGAACGAGATGTTACGGATGTCGTATATGGGAACTCCTCCCCTTCTTCACTTCTGCTGAAATCTTATAGGCTACTGTTGCAGTAATAATGCAGATGCAGCGTGAATTTCCTAGAATCGAACAAACGCTAAAGATTAATACAGGATAATACTAATCTTAGCAGGATAATACACCGTTGATGACAGAACCCAATACCAAGACCGTCTCCCCAGCGAGCAAGCATCTGATAGGCTGAGGTTGACCAATAGCGAACCAGTAAGCTCTGATAGGTCAAAATAGGCCACCGAGGGTATCCAACTTGTAATATCTGGCAAACGTGTTCTGAAAAGACTAGCCAGCTGCAAGACATAAATCCTGAATAGACATACCCTTAGTCCAGGCCCATGAAGAGGCGATCGCCCTTGTCGAATGGGCCTTGATGTTAAGGGGGCATTCCTGCCACAGGCAATCATAAGCCACCCTGTGAGCAACCCTCTGCTTAGAGGCCCCCCTGTCCTCTGTTGCATCCACCAAAACACACAAAAACTGGTCCAATTGTCGAAAAGTGGCCGAGCGAAAAACGTATTCCCGTAGCGCTCTAACCGAGAACACGGCACTCTGAGCATCCTAAACCTGAGAGGTTGATGGCTCAGCAGACAGGGCAGGCAGAGAAACAATCTGCACTTAAACAATCTAGATATAACATAGCCTTGGCATGAGAGTCACATTTCCCGGTCCAAAGTAAATACAATCTTCACTTACAGAGAAAGCCTGTAAATCTACAACGCGCTTCGCCAATGGAAGCACGAGAAGCAGAGCCATTTTTACAGAAAGCTCCTTAATGGCGATCGAAGCCAGGGGCTCGAAAGGCAGTCGTGACAAAGCCTCCAAAACCAAAGCCAAATCCCACGGCGGCACCGAAGGCGGCCGTGCGGGGCATAACCTCCTGGTCCCCTTGAGGAAGCCGATCACCGATGCATGTCTGCCGATAGACTGCCCGTCAACAGGGGGATGAAACTGGGCGATAGGGGCCACATACACCTTCAGAGTGGATGGAAGGCTCCCCTCTTCCATCCTGTAATGAAGGAAGTGCAGAATATCCGACACATAACAACTCCTTTGCTTGACTCCATTTTGAAAAAACTCCCCACTTCAGGTCATACAGACGCCTGGTGGATGGGGCTTGCGCTTCTGCGATAGTGATCAAGGCTCGAGAGTGCAGCACATCCAGCGACCCTGCAACGGCCACACATGGAGGCTCCACAGCCCGGGGTTGGGATGCCAGATGGATCCGGTCGCCTGAGACAGCAGGTCCTTCCTGAGCGGAATCTCCCATGGCCACCCTGTCAGTAACTCCACCAAGTCCGCAAATCATGGTTGGTTCGGCCAGTTTGGGGCTACCAGAGTCACTGCCAACCTCTGCTCCCTAATTTTGCACAACATCATGGGCAGAATTTTCACCGGAGGAAAAGCATAGAGGCAAACTTTCGGCCATCGCGCGGTCAGCATGTCCTGCTCCCGGGAATAACCGGCCAGCGAGAAGAACGCCTGACAATGCGTTGTGAAGAGGTCGACCTCCACTTTTGCCGAAACGCTTCCATATCAGCTGAACCTGGGTGAAGCCTCCATTCCCCTTGAGGAACCCCGCTTCTCGAGAGCATGTCCGCCCTGCGATTCAGAACACTGGGGATGTGAGCCGTACTCACCGAGAGGAAAAACCGGTCCGCCACAGCATAAGAGGTTCTGCCTGCTTTAATAGGGCTCTGGAATGTACGCCTCCCTGGCGCTTTATGTACAAGACCACAGATGTGTTGTAGGTCTGAATCAACACATGCCGCTGCTCCAGCTGAGACCGAAAGGCTTAAAGAGCTAGAGAGACCGCCTTTAGTTCCAAATGATTTATGTGCCACTCTGCCTGCTTCTCTGACCACCGACCCGAAGCAGGCTTGCCCAAGCAGACCGCTCCTCATCAGGTGGTCGATGTGTCCGTCAGGACCTCCACACGCCGTGTCACGATGCCCAGAGGGACACCCGATCTGAAAAGCTCTGGGTTCTTCCACGGAGCCAGAGCATATGTACGCAGCCACGAGTGACCATATTACACTTGTGGCCGGAATACCACGGAATACCAAATTTGCACCAGGATTTACTTCAGATTTACTTACATTCTGATGGCACACTTGTGGCACGCTCTGTTGATGGGTCTCAGATCCAGTATGGGGCGAAGACCTCCTTTCTTCGGCACTACAAAGTAGCGGCTGTAAAACGGGGGAACTATTGCTTTCTTCTCGAGCAAGTTGCACACTTCCTGCCTCAGTACATGAGTGTTTTGGAGAAATATTAATGACTGGATTACGCCACGGAAGCAGGGTGGTCTGCGTTTGAACTGATGTGTGTACCCGTGCCGAATTACTGCGTACGTGCCGATTATATTCATTTATGCAATTGCAATGCCTTGATTTTAGTAGCATTTGTGCGCAGTCATAGCCATATGCAATGGTACTAATAATTGGCATAATTTATTTTAGTGTTTTGGTTTTCGGCCTTGGTCTCCTCTTTTTCGGTTTTTGGTTTCAATTTCAACTTGTTTGATGGGTGAGAACAAACCTCTTGCAGAAGTTCAAACGTGCTGCGTAACACAAGAATGTGCCTTATTGGTTCTTGAGGAAGCTCACATGTGCTGCGTAACATGAGAATGGACCTCATTGGTTCTTGCGAAAGCTCACATGTTCTGCGTGACACAAGAATGATCCTCATTTACCCCTTTTCCACCAAGGCAGAGCTGGTGCTGGTTCGGAGCCAGAGACTAGTTTCAAATCGGTTCTTTGTTTTTCAACCACCAAAGCTCCTAACCTGGCCCTAGCCAGATGAATTTCGCTCCGCCTAGCTCCACTCATCCATCTGGAACCAATCCATTGAAATGGCGTTTCAGAAGGCTGGGCCTTATCAAAAGTCCTTACATATGATTGGATAAGCCACTTGTCTGTCATCTTTATCGACGTGCTATTTCAACCACTCACCGAAGCCAACCCGTGACGCTGATGAGAGCGACGCAGGAAAAAGCGACGCCTGCCAAATCCGGTCGGGAGAAAGGCGAAAACATCGTTTCCACCAACTAAAGCCTTCAGAGCCGTTCTCTGATGTTCTTTTAATGAAACAATATTAGGTAGATTCAGATTGGACAACACGGATGAAATAGCAGCATCAATGTTAACGCTTGCTTCCTCGATGCGAGCCGCCATTGTTGTCTGAATCAAAACAGTCTCACGGTCGCTTCTCCACTACGTCACATCTATGAAACTCCCGCCCTGCGTCCTGATTTGCTAAGCCATAAAGTTGGTTGGAGAAATCACTCTCAATGGAAGAGGTTCCAGATGGATGTGAGTGAAGCTAGGCGGAGCTAAGCGGAACGACATTCATCTGGCTAGGGCCAGGTTACAAAGCTCCAGCTCCAAACCAGTAAAAGTGGTTCTGGTTCTTAAGTAGCACCAAATCATTGCTGGTCTAGAAGTAAGAACCACTTACGTCAGCGGCTGTGGGCGGGGTTACCGTGACCAACAAGACGAATAGAAACTTGTGACTGCCATTTTTTAAATAGCAGCTAATCATGCTAATAGCAAATCGATTGTAATCTCCGTTAATGCTAGTTACGGCGAGCAGCATGGACGTGCTGGATTTGCCGTGTTTGGATACCGAATGTAGCTTTGCAAAGCCATGAGCATAAATGGTAACGCAATAACCCCCATTGTCGAACCAACTCCGAACCAGCACTAGCTCTAGCTCTGAACCAGCACCTGGTTTTTGTTGGTGGAAAAGGGGTAAGACAAGGAGTAACACAAGAATGTGCCTCATTGGTTCTTGCTGAACCTCACTTGCTGTGTAACACAAGAATGATCCTGATTGGTTCTTGCTGAAGCTCACATGTTCTGCTTAACACAAGAATGAACCTCATTTGTTCTCACACATTAAGTGAATTTGCTTGCGCTTCCGTTTACCATATCTGATGAGTGAGTTGACGAATGTTTTTATGAATAAAAGTTCAGTTTGTTCATAATTTAAAGCTATAATGTCTCTTTAGAAAATGTAGGACTAAACCGCTCGATTTATATGGATTTTAGGACTAAACCGCTCAATTTACATGGATTAGTTTTACGATCTCTTTATGAACTTTTTGAAGTGTCAAAGTGTCATTTACGTAACGTTAGCTGTCAATGGAGGCACAGAAAGCTCTCAGATTTCATCAAAAAGATCTTCATTTGTGTTCGGAAGATGAACGAAAGTCTTGCGGGTTTGGAACAACATGAGGGTGAGTAATAAATGACAGAATTTTCATTTTTGGATGAACTTAACCCTACAAGGCTTAATAATTTTATGTTACTTTAATCATTTTTCAGTTTAGCTTTAATTTATAAAAAATGTTCATGTTATATTTATATTTAATTTCTGCTTTGTCAATGACAAAGATGCTTTTAATAGTTGTGGTCTTAGTTTTAGTTAACAATAACACTGAAATTGTCATATTTTACAATGATCCGTATCCATTTTAGTAGTTGTTCAGTTTGAATACACCCCAATGTTTGTACAGTCCCTTTGTTTGACATCTACTTAGACATAATATTGATCTGACAGCCTGCCACGGAGTTAACTTTAAGTTAAAGAAGATACAGCCTTGTTTGTTTTAAAAAATAGTGTGCTTGGCTTATCCAGTTTGAAATGATTTCATGGCCTTGACCACGTCTGTCCTATAAAGGGCTTTTGACTTGCAACCTACAATACTACAGTTGACATAGTTGATGTTGAGATTGTTTCATGTTGAATCATGTTGTTTTAACAGCGATAGAGCATGGCTCAAGTGAAAGTGCAGACCTCAGCCCCCTTGTCTGGACCTGGCCTGACCGCCGTGGTGCCCGCTGTGGCCATGCCCAGCCCAGGAGCTCTGGGTCTGCAGCCCACCATCAATGGCACAGTGCCAGCCACAACGCCCACCTGCCCCAGCCCTGCCTCTGGCTTTGTGGACTCCACTGTACCATCCAGCCCAACAGGTACCAGGATGCTGAGTGCAAACCAATCTGATGCATTTTGCCTGTTTAGCCAAAGTACCTTTAAAGGCCTCGATGTTGTTTGAAATTACGTCATATCAGTTCGTTCTTCAATTCTGCTTGAAGAATATCGGGGCCTTTAAAAGGGTCACTTCATAATTAAAATTTACTCATAATTTACTCACCTCCATGTCATCCAAGATGTTCATGTTCTTAATTCTTCAGTTGAAAATAAATTAAGATTTTTGAGGAAAACATTCCAGGATTTTTCTTCATACTGTATATTGGTCAAAATTTGCAGTTTCAATGCAGCTTCTAAAAGCTCTCACATCTTATCTAGCAAAACAATCCATCATTTTCAATAAAAAAAAAAATGTATATAGACTTTTTAACCACAAATGCTCTTCTTGCACGTCCACGACTTTACGCATTACATATTCACATTGTAAAGGTCAGGCGGTAACCTGACATAGGTGGAAAATATAGAGTAGGGTGAAAAACTCCATCTCATTTCCTTCTCCAATTTCAAAAATGTGTCCGAATTCATTGTTTTATCCTTTTTTTTGTTGTAAAGGGCGATTGACTTAAGCCCTATTTGTACGGCATTAGTATTATCTGGGGACCTCATGTGAATTTGGAATTACCACCCCACATCTAAATTTTGTGTGGCGCATTCGCATGGGATAAGCAAAGCCTGTGATTTTACACAAATTTACTGACTTATCTCCTGGATGATGTCATTAGGCTATTGCTTGGAAATGTCTTGTTGTTATTATGTCTAGCTGTATCATATATGATAAACGGAAGAATTGTCCTCACCACATGCTGTAATACATGTCATTCATCTCCATAATCATTCTTTTTGTTTTTGCTCTTCTGATGGTTTTCAGCTTTCTCGTTCTGCAAACTGTATAGCGATATGCTATCCAAAATATAAATGCTATCCAAATATATAGCCAAAATACTATCAAAACACTCCAACGCAGCCCCTATTCTTTGTAAAAGATGTATAAAAAAGTGCACAGGAAACAAAAACCTTGAAAAAATTATAAACGTCCCCCGCCAAATCACAGAGATGCCGATTCACAAGGGACTAATATTATCACAGGACCTTGGTGTTCGGCGAAATATGGTAGGTCATTTGCGGGGGAATTTTTTATTTACAAATTAGACATGGCCGAATCGCGCGGGATTAAGATCGTAGACAACCTCTGCAATTATTACAAATGACTAGATGTCACCAGGTAATACTTATCTATGTGACCTTTCAATGTGAATATGGCGCATCACAGCTAGTGCAAGATGTATTTTATATATACAAAAAAAAAAATCCTGGAATGTTTTCCTCAAAACCCTTCAATTCTTTTCGACTGAAGAAAGAAAGACATGACTTTAAAACTAATAATGAAAAAAATAAAAATAAAAAAAGGAAATAAAAACTAGGCCTTTTTTCACTACATATGCATCAAAATGATAGGTGCATAATATGTAAACAATTACGGTCAGACCCACTGTGCTGGTTTAAATTATGCTGCATCACACTTAAACAGTTAAAGTAGAGAAATACAAATAATCCATTTAAATAAAATAAGAATCGAAACCAGAATCGAAATGTGTAACGGTACACTATATATTGCTATTTGCTTAGTATCCATTCTTCTCACTTCACTGCTGCAATCCAGGTGCGGTTTTCGAAAATCTAAACGCTTTGATTTCCGAGAGCATAATAGTTCCGGATCTGAGAGAACATACAACCACTGAACAACATGCTCCTAATTTTAATTTTGACATGTTTTATTCGCATGTATAAGAAAATTATCACACAATTGCGGTAAATAAGCGCCTCCCGCCGTTGTTTTCGAATGTGCGCGCTAACTAACCGTAAACGTCTGAGGGCCAAACACGTCACTTCCTTACATCTACAAATAGCTGTTAAAATGGTCTATACATGGCTGTCAAATACTTGTAAAATACTGTGGAAAAACTTGACATGCATTTGTTCATTCTTTCTGACAGGCCCTCCTCAAGAAAACATGGCAAACCCTAAAGAGAAAACTCCCATGTGTTTGGTGAATGAGTTAGCCCGTTTCAACAGGATTCAACCTCAATACAAGCTGCTGAATGAGAAAGGGCCTGCACATGCTAAGGTACTGTGAAATGGTCATGAAGCCCCAAAACACTATTTTTTTTGTACAGGATGCACATCAATGAAAAAATCAATAGCACTCATTATGTTTATTATTGAGGGAAAAAGTGGCTATTACGTGTATAAATACATTCATTCGAAGTGGTGAGGGGCTGGATCAGTTTTTGAGCATTTCTCTGCATTATTCATAAGAATGAGCTATTTTAATCCAATCACTGCACTGTATTAAGCATAAGGTTGCCTTACAGTGGAGAAATCAAATGTCACCTGCCTGTATATTAAGTATACTGTATGGATACTGTAAGTATACAGTTGAACAAAAGTGTTGTTTGCATTTTTCTCATGATGCGGTCAGAGCTGCAGTTTGACTCCCAACATATGGAAAATATGGCTAACAATATTTAATATTTAACACGCACATGAGAACGGTTTCTGCATGGAATGCTATGATGAGTTTAATATAGACTAACTGGCAACACAGATATCACAGTATGGATTCAGACCGTTTTTTAATGGACATATTTCATATACTCTAGTGCTCTAAACATGAATCAGAGATTTCAAATGTCTTCTTCAATTGAAATAAATTAGTGCAAATAAGGACACTGATGCAGCGGTACGTCTGATCATAAATGCAAATTATTCTGATACACAGAAGAAAATGTAGACTGAAAATTAACTAACTAACTATTCTGTGTGTGTCATTTGTTCAGAGATTTTAGTGCTTGTAAATGTAATTCAAATATTTTAGACCTTTCTAATTTTTCATATAGACAAATAGCTCTGCCAATTTATAATTCTGATTTTTTGATATTTCGAAGAATAATAATTATCATAATGTATTTGATTTATTAATAGTTGTTAGTCTGTTAAAAGATTTTTGTGAGTTTGTTGTCATAGAGTTACAGTATCTTTCTAAAATACATGGGTGGCTCCAACTCTGTTGTTTGTTTTCTCTGCTCATATTTTAATATTCATTTGTCTGTATTAGATTAGATTAGATCAGCCTTTATTTGTTGAGAAATTTCATCATAATAAGTTTGTTGTAGGTCTGTGTTTGTTATTGACTCCCCTCTTTCCACCCTTTACTCTCCCATTTTTTCCACAGCTTTACACGGCTGTTTCTTGAGTCTTTTTCAAATCTGAGGTGTGACGACATACATTTTGATGATTAAATATGTATCGACTTAAACTAATGAAAAATTTGTTGACTTGAATACTGAAAATATGTTCTATTAATAATGTAACATGTTTTTTGACTGAGCAAACAATAATCAGCATATAGTATGTACAGGGTAAATATAAAGTGTTATTTTAAGGCCAAAAAAAATTAGCAAGAAGGATATGTCCTATCACAATTCAATATGCAAATGATGTCATCATTGCTTTTACTGCATTCTGAATAGTGAACATTTAATTAATGGAGACAGTGGGAGATTTTAGTCTTAAACTAAATATATATAGCTGAATATAACTAATCGGTAACACTTTAAAATAAGGTTTTATCTGTTAACTTTAGCTAATCACATTAAAAGCCAAAGTTGTATTTGTTTACTTTAGTTAATGCACTGTGAAATAGCATGAACAAACAATTAACAATTATATAGCATTAATAAACGCTTTGTTAGTTCATGTTAGCTAATATGCTAATGTTAAACTTTAGCAATAGCAAGTTAGCTTTGAAAGCAAGAGATCTCACCCTCCCTTCAAAACATCTCCAAAGCCAGGCCTTCTTCAAGACACATGAACACATTGAGCAGGGAGCAAACAAAAGCGCCACGAGACGAGAGACGGTGTTAAATTACCTCATGTCTCAAAGAATAACAATGAAAAAAGACAACTTAAAGAGCACTGAGCTGTACCACCTGACTACTACAGATTCATTTAGGTGTCAATAGTGTTGCCATTAAAACACATTAATTAGAGTCACTAAATGCTTCGAGTATAACGTCACAGGTTTCTATCTTTCCAGATTACAGTAGTTATGGCAGGAGGGCAGCATAAATCGTTGTTTTGGATCAGGCTTTTTCAGTGCTCGGTGACTAAAGCTATTCGGACAGGATTAGTTTTACATGGAGAGGTGGGGTAAAGTTATTATTACGAGAGCTTCTCTGTGAATTTTGTCCCGTCTGAATGTGGCATCTTAGTAATCATTACGGACAATGCCAGTTAAGATTACGGTGACTTTTACCTTTTGTAAAATGGTCTGGAAAAATTACCTCAGGTAATGCCAGTCCAGTCTGAATGCGAATGTCTTGAATGTTATTGCTGATTGTTATTTCTATTGTATTATCCTAATGCTTCCTCCTCGTGTGTTTTTTTTTTTTTTTTTACCTGACCTGAGCTACCGTTTGGACACCAGTCTTCAGCATGCTATGGATGGTATCTGATGAAATTATAATATTATCCAAATTGCAAAAAAAAAGGGTCAAATAAGAGTAAGATGCTTGTCTAGCAAGGTCTGCACATGACGTTCTGTAACGCCCACTTCTAGAAAAACACACACTCACACCTGTAAAAAACACGGAGAAATCCCGTCCAAATTGGTTCATGAAATCAGAAACGTCAAGTGATAATAAATTGTCATTTAGAAAACTAGTTCCATCTGAATAGGGTTTTACTTTGCATAACATGAAACACTGATGATGTGATGTCTGCTCGAGTAGGTACGCGGAAGTATGGAAATACATACGTTGACAGGCATGTAGGACATCATATCATTGCATTCGGACCGAATACAAAGACTTGATGAACATTTTATGGTCCTACACCTTCATATACTGTAGATATACATATAAATCCATTTAGACCTTAACTTTGTGATTGCTATCAGGATGTGAAGAGACTTTCAACCAGCATCTTTCCTACCCTGCCTTTAACAAATGAAACCTTATTGTAAAGTGTTACCAATACATTTAATGCTAATCAATTTAATTAGTACATTAATGTAATATATTCAACTTTATAAATATTTTCAGGTTAAATAATTGTGTTTTGTTGTCTTGCAAGAACTCAAATCATGTCACTAAAGACAGTCCCTCCGGTGATCCATCTTGAAAAAGTTAGGTGCTTTGCTGCCAAAAGCCCAAATCTGTAAAAAATGCTAAGCAAGTATGGGATAATGTTCAGTCATTGATATAAAATAAAACCTGACATGGCAATCAGGATCTTGCATAATCTTGAATGATTTTATGACTTGCTGACGGTTCATTATCCCACTTATCACATGGCTACTTAGCTAAATTAATAAATACCAAGATGTGAAATATTGATTTAAAGTTATTTCAAGTTTTATTTTGTTATCTGTAGACAATGTCAATATTAGATAAAAACTTTCACTAAGAAAATAGTCCACTATAACAAAAAACAATCAGCCTAGCTCTCCTGCTGGATTGTGTGTGCAGATCTTCACGGTGCAGCTGTGCTTGGGGAACCAGGTTTGGGAGTCAGAAGGCAGCAGCATCAAAAAGGCCCAGCACTCCACAGCTACCATGGCCCTGACAGAGAGCAGTCTCCCCCGACCTCCTCCCCGCTCCCCTAAAGTCGACAGCAACAGCAACCCAGGTACACGCATCTCTCAGGGACATTATATTATGCTGCACAGATGCGTTCTTCACCGGTGTCCAGGGTGGGATTGTAGGTAAAGCATTTGAAAGTGTTTATCTGCTATAAATATTTAGCCAAATGTAGGATAAAAAAAAAAACAAAACAAAAAAACAAACTCAGGGGCACACTACAATTGATCATAATAATAATAATTATAATCATAAAAATTTATTACATTTATATAGCGCTTTTTCTCTGTACTTAAAGGAGTAGTTCACTTTAAAAAAAACTTTAGATAAAAGATGTCCATGTCATTATTTCTTCAGTTGAAAAGAAATTAAGGTTTTTGATGAAAACATTCCAGGATTTTTCTTCATATAATGGACTTCAATGGGAACCAAACGGTTCAAGGTCCAAAAGACAGTTTCAGTGCAAACTGTTCAAAAGACTTTAACCGATTTCAGACGATGAATAAGGGTCTTATCAAGCGAAACGATCGCTCATTTAAAAAAAAAATTAACAAAGTTTAATTTTTATAAGCACAAATGGTCGCCTTGCTCTCTTCTGTGATGCGCGTTCGTTACTCTCCTGTTCGAACTCGTTTATCAAAATGAACAAATCTTTTTTCGTATCATTTGATTCATTCAAAGAACGAAATAAACGAATTGACTCGGGAAAAGATTTGTTCATTTTGATGAACAGGAGAGTCACAAATGTGCGTCACAGAACAGAGCAAGGCAACAATTTGAGCTTATAAAACTTAAACTTATTCATCGTCTGGAATCGTTTAAAGCCCTTTTGAACAGTTTGCAGATTTGCACTGAAAGTGTCTTTTGGACCTTGAACCGTTTGGTTCCCAGTAAAGTGCATTATGTGGAGAAAAATCCTGGAATGTTTTCATCAAAAACCTTAATTTCTTTTCGACTGAAGAAAGAATGACATGGACATCTTGGATGACATGGGGGTGAGTAAATTATCAGCTAAAGTTTTTTTTAAAGTGAACTACTCCTTTAAATGAACGTCAGCCATATTGTGCCAGAACGCCCACCAAACACTAGATTATTAGTGGAGAGCAGACAGAGTGATGAAGCCAAAAAGTATGGGGATGATGAGGAAGCCATGATGATGGACAGAGGCCAATGGACCAATTTGGCGAGGATGCTGGGGTTTCAAGGACATCCTGGGATTTTTAATGACCACAGAGAGTCCTCATTTTAGCATCTTATCCGAAGGAGGACATTGTCTTTTGAAAGTATAGTGTCCTCATCACTATACTAGAGCGTTAGGACCCACACAGACCACAGGGTGAGCACCCCCTGCTGGCCTCACTAACACCTCTTCCAGCAGCGACCTGGTTTTCCCAGGAGGTCTCCCATCCAGGTACTGACCAGGCTCAACCCTGCTTAGCTTCAGTGGGCAACCTGAGCTACAGGGTGAAATGGCTTCTGGTGTAAACTAATAGGCTGTAAAGTAGTGGAGTGTTCTTCATTGGGGGTCCAGCATGGATTTTTATTATTTTAGGTTAACCTGCAGAAAGGGTATAATCATTATAAATATTTATCCAAATGCAGGATAATACAAAAAAAAAAAAGAAAAAAAAGAGAAAGAAATAGAAATCAGGGACTAATTTGGTGTTGTAAACTGTAAAGTAGATCAGCATTCTTCAGTCGTGGTCAGGATGCTAGTGAAATCAATTGAAAGTGTTTAACAACTTTAAATATTTAGCCAACTGTGAGATAATAAAAATACAAAAACACAAAAAAGGTTGTGTTGAGTACAACAGTGCCCACTCACTTTTTTTTTTTTTTTTTTCAGTCATTGGTTCTGGAAGTATCTTTTCCATTCAGTCCTATAGGGATTTTAAAAAGTCTTTGTTAAAGAGTTATAAGCCATGAACCAAAGCAACCTAAACACACTGATTTGAGGCAGGAATTTCAAAATCGGACAAAGTTACAAGACTGTGTACTTAATGGCTTTAGTGAGGGAGAGAACTATAATCCCATATGGATTGGCAATACATGGAGAAATATAAAACTAATCATTTAAAATCAAAGGTGTTTTACCACTATAAATGATTAAGCCACATGTGGGAAAATAAAAATACAATTTTAAAATCTGTTAAAATACAATGAAAAAAAAATTATTATTTAATAAATAAATTATTTTAATTATAATTATTATATTTGTCTTTTTTGTACATTATTAAACAGGGGGTCTCTTGATCCATCTTTTTCCTTTTTGCAGGCAGCATCACTCCTACAGTGGAGTTGAATGGCTTGGCCATGAAGCGAGGGGAGCCAGCTATCTACAGACCCCTGGACCCCAAACCCATTCCCAACTACAGAGCCAATTACAACTTTAGAGGAATGTTCAACCAGAGGTATGTGCTTCCGCCTGAGGATTTTTTAAATCTCTGAAGCAGAACTGTTATCATATCATATTATTGTTATTACTGCCATCCAGTGGTGTCGTACTTGTGTTAGGTCAAACATAAAGCACACAGCAAACTCAGATTGGCTGCCCAAATAGGGTTAACTAGGGTTTGACCACTGTATTCAACATTTTTTCAACAGATTAAAATGCCTGGTGTGATTTTGTACTAAGCTTTCACTATTGGTCAACAGAACAACTTTTAGGAATGTGATAGTAATTTTGCTCATTACCATAAGGTGGCAGTATTGCCCTTTTTTCCTACTGTAAGAGGACTTTGACTGCACCCATATTTTACATAAGACATCAAGAGGAAACCCAACACACTAACAGAAATATTAAAGTAAACACAACTGACCTTAAAATCAAACAGTGAAATGTATTAATATTGCCATATGTTTGGATGATGATGATGTGTTGGAAAAACTTACTTTCATAGTCTTCATGCCTTTTTTGAATGTTTGGTTTCTAAATATCTTTTGAATCATGATGCTTCATGCTCTTGACAGACAATAATTTACAACATACACACATCGTGGTTGGCATGAATTGCAGGGGAACTCATATTTAATGTAGTCCGGGTCATATTTTCTTGCACCTTTCATTGTTTTTGAGGATGCGGGCTTGTCTCACAACCTGCCTTATTTGAATTTTTCTGCAAAATATCTAATTAGATAGTTAAATGATATTTAATTTTATTTCTAGGGATATTTTTTGAAGATTCACTATACTTCTGTATATGCTTAGAGCTTGAGTGAACATTTAGCTCCGCAATTTTGCATAAACATCTAATTTATGTTTTTGCAAACTTTGAGTCGCTATTTGTTGGCACGGTTTATTCCAGCTGAACTGGCAAGAATGAAAAGAAACACGCCGACACTGACGTATTCGTTCGCTAGAAGGCATGAACAGCGAGAAGCAACGTTGACGCTAATCGGAAAACTACACATTACAAGGAGCACATTACCCCTTAATCCTGTTGTCATTTGAAGCTTTTATTTAGGCATTTGCTTTCGATTGAAGCTCTATGGACACTGTGAGAACAAAGACGAGGTGAGAAACCCGAGTCTTGTAATGCTAAGATCTCAACCTGATATCAAACAGCGTTAAAGGGCCTGCGTGTAGTGATTTTATGGAAAGAAATGCATATACGTTTCTTCGCTGCACATCTAGAATTTCTGTGATGTAGTCTTTGAAATAGTAATACAACAAGGAGCCAAAATAAATCGGATCCTCCGTGTGATTACATCATTTTGGTGCGGAGCCTGCCCGGGGACCACCGTGAGGGACTGTTGTAGATATTAACGGTGTTGCAAATGTATTCTACCCTTGAGTTTTCTTTCCTCTCCTCAATCAACAAAGATTCTCTCAGAGGTGTTACAAGCCTTGCTCTCTAATTGATGGGCTTTATTATAATATGGATGTTGTGTCTGTACTGGTCATTATGGAGATGAGTAAGTGTGTGGCTGTAGTGAATTGAGGGATTATGAGACTGACTCTGAGAGTAAAAATGTATTTTGATTTATGAATTGGTTAAATGGGTCATATCATTAGGATTCTTTTGAGATATATAATAACATAGTCTGACTTCTGTAAATCAGAGTAAGCTTGTTTTTGTGCTTCTGAAACTTTGTTAGAGAGCTGAATAAATTAACAAGTTAATAAGGAAGAAGTGGGAAAATCTAAGTTTAATGTAGCACCTACAGCTCTGCATATCCTCCTGAAAGATCCCAGTGACAGATTTTTCTTGGGTTAATTTAAAGGGATACTCCACCGGGTTTTCATATTAAACTACTGTATGTTATTCCCTTAATCAAGACGAGCTGATGCATACCTCTCTCGTCTCAGTGCGTGCACTATATTGCTCTGTATTGCCGCAAAACTATGTTAGCACTTAGCTTAGCTTAGTGCATTAAATATGGGCCAAAAAGAGAAGCGACAAAACACTTCCTCGTTTTCCCTATTTAAACACAGTTACTCGATTAGTGTAACTCGACCTAGGCTGGTGACACAAAATAAAACGTTGTGTTTTTGTAAGCGTTTAAAATTGATGACTATATTATATGGCGGAATACCATAAAAAAGTGCTTTAGAGCAATAATACCTTCACTCGTGAAAAGTCCTCTTACCGGCTCCCGCTTTGTCGCATGTCACGTTGGCTGCATTGACGGAAATAAGAGGGAGAGGGAGAGCGAGGAAGCGGGAGCCGGTAAGAGGACTTTTCACGAGTGAAGGTATTATTGCGCCAAGTTGAAGTGCTCTAAAGCACTTTTTTATGGTATTCGGCCATACAATATAGTCATCAATTTTAAACGCTTAGAAAAACACAACGTTTTATTTTGTGTCACCAGCCTAGGTCTAGTTACACTAATCGAGTAACTGTGTTTAAATAGGGAAAACGAGGAAGGGTTTGGTCGCTTCTCTTTTGGGCCCATATTTAATGCACTGGGCTAAGCTAAGTGCTAACATAGCTTAGCCCAGCAATACAGAGCGATAGAGTGCACGCACTGAGACGAGAGAGGTATGCATCAGCTCGTCTTAGTTAAAGGTGCAATGTGTAACAAAGTTGAGTATCTATTAACAGAAATGCAATATGACATCCATAACTATGTTTTCAGTGGTGTATAAAGAACTTACTTAATTAGCCGTAATGTTTTTATTACCTTAGAATGAGACATTAATAGCTCCATAACCGAGGGAATCCCCTTCTATGAAGGTCGCCATGTTGTGACGTCATATTCCTACCGTAGCCGAACGCGAACAAACAGCGCTACAGAACGCGTTTCATCGCTACCTTGAAAGAGAAGTAGCGGAAAGCTGGAAGCTAGCCTTACACTCCGTGAGTAGTGACTTTTCCCTTGTGAGTGGTGTAAAATATGTAGTTAGGAATGTTTCATGTAACTTAGTTCTCCCTCGCTGTGTTATGGGTTTGTTATGTTGGGGATAGATGTGCTGTTACGTTCGTGAGACAGCTGATGATTATTATTCATGTCATTGACCGTAAAACAGTACGTTACAGGAATCACTAACCCGTCGATAGAGACTTTTACTAAAGTCTTTTATCACTAAAGTCGATCGCGAAGATTTTTCAAAATCAGAGAAAAAAAAGCCTATTGTGTGTAGTAAATAGTATCTATGGGATGCGGAGATGACATGATTGTAACAGCGCGCGCACTTCCGACCTTTGGACTCATGCGGACGAGTCCCAGCTCAGCCACAGTAACAGCTCATATTAGCCAGCTAAACTATTACTACCCTGTTAGAAAAAACATATAGCTGCTCCCTCGCTGTATTATGGGTTTGCTACAGTATGTGGGGAGAAATGTGCTGCTGGTTACGTTTGTGAGACAATCAGCTGATTATTATTTTATTAAATTATATATTAAAACCCTTGATCCTCACCTGACTATGGCTTTGTAAACAGACAGTATTCATGATGTGGTTTATAATGGACTGTGGTACAGAAACAGTGACAATGTTACACACTCTTGGCTTACTCTGGCTATTCTCTGCTGTCTCAGCCGACGAGATGTTTGTCCCGTTTTAGCAACCGTAGCTTCTTCGAAAGGGAGGGGTGAGCAGTGGGCTGAGCCCTTATTGCAAACCTGGTGCAAACTCGCAACCGAACCACTAGATGTCGCTAAAAGTCACACATTGCTCCTTTAAGGGAATAACATAGTTTAATATGAAAACCCGGTGGAGTATCCCTTTAAATAACACATTTTACTAACATTATAAATGGACCAGTGATCAAAATTTTAAGTATAAATGAAATACTTTAAAAATGCATTAAAATATGCTTTTTCCACCTCAGTACGTGCATTTACATTTACATTTAATAGTTTGATTTTAGTAATCTGGCACGTATACGTTGATCAAGTTTCAATTTTTTTTATATAATGTTTTTGAAAGAAGTCTCTTATGGTTTATTTTTATTTGATTAAAAATACAGTAAAAACACTCAAAGTTGGGAAATATTTCTAATTTAGTATATTTTCTAATGTAATTTTATTTCTGTGATTGCAAAACTGAATTTTCAGCAGCAAATCATTTCAGAAATCATTCTTATATGCTGGTTTGGTTCTTATGAAAAAGTTCTTATCAATGTTGCAAACAGTCGCTTAATATTTTTGTGGAAACCATGAAACATTTTTTATGATTCTTTGATGAATTAAAAGTTCAAAATAAAAGCATTTATGTGAAATAGATATATTTTGTTACTATCATCTTTTGAATTGCATTCTATTATGGTGGCAAATTAATGCCAAAAATAACCGAGCGCACAACGGATGCTGGCGCGCGGTTTTTGAATGAGCTCGTGAGTTCCCGTTTCCTCGCGTGTCGATCTGTTATCCTCTCGCAGAAGTCATTTACCACGCGGCAGCATCAGTTGTGCGCTCGGTTATTTTTGCCATTAATTTGCTGCCATAGTCTACTTGGAAGGAAAGGTTTAGCTCGGTTATACCTTTGCTTGTATACTGATATCCACTCATTACAGTCCCGGCTAACTGAGTCTTAGCTCCATTAACTCACTCGTTATTTTCTCTCTCAGTCCACAGAGACTGCATTGGTGCAGCTTAACAAAAGCATCTTTTCTGAGAAACAAATCATGTAACCAAGAGTTTAAAGCGGAGCTGTAAATTCCTCATTATTCCCAGCTTAGTTAGACTCAGACCAAATCTACACTCACCCTGGCTCAGCTTACGTGTGGATCTGAGTAGGAATTAAGCTGCAGTCAAGTAGCATCACACAGTTACCTCATTTATTCAGGCCTTTGCTCTCACTAACATCAGCCTTTGTGTTCCTAACAACATTCTGTATTCATCTGCCTTGGGGAGCGCCTGCATTCTTTCAGAGTCAAAATTTGGATGTGTTTTTTTCCGGGACGACTTCACCTTCTCTTATTTGGGCATGACAGTAACGTTGTGTCTGTGCTTTACTGTTACAATGAGGATAATTACTGTTGAGCCTGATATTTCCTGGTCTGATATTGAGCTGTGGC